ACTGCTAAATTAGGGACGTCTAGCGCAGATAGCCCTTGTGTAGCTTTGCGCGAAATTCCAAAACAAACAAACATTGTTGAGTATAATAAGTAACTAACCGCGACTGGGAAAAGATTTGCGGTATTTTTCCTGCCCTTCTATCGAATTTCCTTATTCTATCATTTTTACGCACGATATTTAAGACACCCTTTAGACGTAACTTTATTTAATAAAACTACACGTAACGTAAACAATAAAGTAACGAGATTTTAATGGTTTTACAAGTTAAAACAAAGAAAATCACAAAAACGAAGAATAAAACCCGTAATAAAGAAAAAAAGTAGCTACAGCGTATTTATAGCAGTCCATGAAACCAACCACAGCTAAATTATTGCAAAATAAAGTAAATATAAAGTTGTAATGAAGGCAAACTTAGCTGAACATGCAGAAACATCTGAATGTGTGTTCACAAGGTGAACTGCACAAACGTATTTCATAGCGATTGTATCCAGTGTAATGTTAATTTTTAAAGTAAATTATCTACAGGTTAAGTGTTGTTTATGTGAGCAACCTTGCAGATAAAATAAATAACTAAAGTTGAAACCGAAGCCAGTAATCATGTAATAACAACGCATTGTGCCATCGTGTAGCATAATCATCGCATTAAACAGTTTGACTAAGCAAAAAATATGTAAGGTGATTCAGAGTGAAAAAAGCCAATATGCAATTCGGACTCCTCGGACAAAGGCCTTTCTAACGATATGAGATTTGTAGTAATTGATCGAGAAATTTGCAAGAAAAGTTCCGGACAGACAAACACAAGCGTATTATTTATTTCTTTAATGAACACTTGCTAAAACCACGTTCATTTGTGGGCTTAAATACATAAATTTTTCAACATAAACTTCTGAACCAATGTAGGCCTAACTTACTGATATTATAAACTTACTTGCAGTATTCCATAGGTAATCAATCGAGTAACTGAATAATACAATATACGAGATAACTCTGGATTCTAACACTTTAATAACTTTTCTGACCGTTATAACGTGCTCATGTTTCTACAAGCCCCACGAATTCTCAGTATTCTTATTTTAATGAAATTTCTCGATCTTAACGTCATTTACTCTCTAGCAAACACCCAAATTAAAATATTGAAAATATAGCTTACAATTTTACTATTCATATTTGCATAACAACAAATTACGAATAAATAAAACACATGTTTTGAATATTTTAGTTGATACTATGCTAATTGTGTTGTGCAATCAGATGATAATTGTATTTTACTTTTAGAAACGTTATATATAACATTAAATGAATATATTTCTGGGAACTATTTCTGGACTGGTGTTTCCGTCTGCTTGATGTAATACTATCTGTACATTTTCGCACGTGCATTGAGAGACTGCTGAGCTCCTGCCTGCTATGTGACGTTAAATTTGTCACGTGCGCGTTGTGACGTAAATTGGTTTTCCAACAACTTCAGTATTGATTGTGGCATCGTTCGTTGCTTTGTTGCGTCGTTAGTAAAGCAGACTGGTACTGTAACTTCGTAAGTCATATTCTTTTTGTAAAATTGAGTTAATGTAGATCTTATTAAAAAGTGTACAAATTTAGTAGTAAAGAATTAGATACAGTGCTGTTCTGTACAATGAACAGTATAGTAAATGAACTTGAGCTTATGGTTCCAGAATTTGTAAAATACTTCTAGGACCAGTAATATACATTATAAATATGATGCTAATAGTAATACTATCATGCTACTAGTTACTAGTGCTAGTACTGAGTAGTACTAGTGTGTGTAATATAAACTAGTATTCGTAGGCTTTATACTCTGTTTATTTTTAGTATTATGAGATTATAAGAGCTTATGAGTAAAAGTAAAGAAGAACGTATAACAATTTGAACCACACTTACTACTAATACTATATCCAGTGCCTATGAGGCCTTTCGTTAATACCATGTCTCGCAGGCTGGCTTTAATACGACATTCATAGGTGTTATTAGTACTGTTAATTAAGATTTAAGCTACTTGCAGAAAGCTTAAGGATGACTTGGAATAAGAAGTTTAATTAAGAAAATAGTCTCGCTGTATGAGCTCTTAATTTCGTTTTGTATGATTCTCAGAATATAGCATTCCAAAATTTATTGATGAAATTGTATAGAAAGTAATGATAAGTAGTTTTAAAATTGTATTTATTTTCTAACATTTGTAAGTTGAGACATTATTATTGCTGTCTTATAGGTGTTTTAATTTAGAGAAAATTAGTTATATCTTGCACTTGTAATGGAAAATTTTAAACCTTTGTTGCCTTTTTTTATTGTAATCTACAATTTGTCTGTATTTAACTTTTTCAGATTAAATAACAATGGCTCACTTTAACTACTTGAGTGTGGAGGAGCAGGACAAGTTACGACAGACAGCCAACGCCATTGTTGCCCCTGGCAAGGGTATCTTGGCTGCAGATGAAAGCACCTGTAAGTTTCGTGTATTTCGCTCAGTTAACATTGATTTTATTCAGTATTTTATGGCAGTGTTTTTGTAGCAAAAAAGTTAGGTGGGTATAATTGGTTAACTACAGTCTGAAGGTAACAAAAATCGGAGTCCAATTTTTCCATTTTTTTTATCATACAGTTTGATTACTCAATAAATGTCTGTTTCTTCTGTTTTGTTTGATTACTTAAGATGAAAATGTGTAGCAATGTGTCTTTACTGTTTTACTTCATAGTTTAGTTACTCAAAGTTACAATAAACGTCTCAGTTTTAGATTCTGTTTTACTTCTCAGTTAGGTTAGTGTTTCTTTAACAGTCACATAAGTACATTTATAAGCAACGTCAGTGTATTAATGTAAGTTTGGTGACATTTACACATATTAATGTCTCTGTCGTGTATTTAAATATGAAGCAGTTTTTATGACCAGTTCATGTGTTTTTAATGCAAGTGGAAAAGAAATACATAGCCAGGATAAGGAAATTTGTTTCCAAGAAAGTCTTAAAATGCCCTTGTAAAGGTTAAGCACGTTTTGGCATTTAGCCATTTGATATTGAGGAAAGCAGGGTAGCTAACTGTGCTAATAACAGCTGCAGAAAGGGAAGAGTAAAAAAAACTGCTCCTGGGGGCTATTAATAGCATAAAACAAAGTTGTATTCTAGAGGGCACTGTGACTCTGAACAAGGACTTCAGTAAAATGTGGTCTGAAAGTTTTGTCTGCTGATGTCAAGGTCAAATAACTAAAAGAAAATTAACTTCCTTCAGAGTTTTTTTTTTTAAAGCTGAAAATGAGAACATTATAGAGTTTAACAACCATATAAGGGTCTTGTAAATCTCCAGTATCTTCAAGTTTTGTTTTCTTATACACACAAAGTGAGTTTAAAGTATTAACAAATGGGGGAAGTGGAAGAAAAACAATTACTTATTGATAAGTATCTCTAAACACTTTATCTTCTTTAGACAGGAAAGTATCATTATAAAGAGAAAAAAAATGTATTCAGTGATTCATTGTTTGTTCTGCTGTATGAAGAGAAATGTGTAGAGATCAAAGTATTGCAAACGAAATGACACTTGATAAAATAAAAAAACTAAATACATTTTCTCTTATGTAGTGATTCAACTACTTGGATAAATATATCACTTTTATTGATAGTTATATCATGAGCATGTGTTATTAACTGAATAATGTAAATATATAACTGAAGAGTGAATTTTTTTTGTATTGTGTCTACTTATATATATTAGTCATTCTGTATTTCAGACCATGTATTGTTTTACTAAAAGTGAAATTTAAGAATAATCAGATTCATTGAAACTTAATTGTGCTGTTTCTTACTATTTTACATTTATCAGTTTTGACAAGCACTTACTATTTTACTTTTATCAGATATGACAAACACTAACTATTTTACTTTTATCAGTTTTGACAAGCACTTACTATTTTAC